ACTTACTTAAAATATAGCATAGTTCTTTTTTTTTTTTTCTTTTTTTAAAGAGAGAGAGAATGCTGAGGGCCATTACCAAGTAGGTATGACGCATCAAAATCTCCTTGCCAGCGTACCCCATGCTGCTTAGGACATTCGATGGGACATTGCATGTATGCTTTAGTAAGATGACCCTGCTCAAGGTGATCCAGGGTGGATACAGGTTTGAGGAAGTATCCCGGTACTTGGGTTTAGGGTGTTCCTGGTTTAAGGCGGTTCCCGGTTTAAGACAACAGGGGTATTAGGGAAGTTGGAGGTTGAAGATTATTGCTGCTGGGATAAGGGTGTTCCTGCTGCTTGTTCCAGTTGAGTTCTCCTGAGATTCAAATGGGATTTGGAAAAAGCCTTGTGGAATAGGTGATTTGGGGGCGGCGATATATTGGAGAATTTCCCCTGAGCGTGTGTGGAGGCTGGTGTGAGATCGGGAATAAAGAATTGCTGTTTGAACCTACAAAGCTGTGGTGCCTCCTGATCTTGTGCCCAGCMGAGACATTGCCAAGAGAATATTTTTAATATTTATTTTTTAGTTTTTGGCAGACACAACATCTTTATTTTTTATTTTATGTGGTGCTGAGGATTGAACTCAGCGCCCTGTGCATGCCAGGCAAGCGCTTTACCACTTAAGCCATGTCCCCAGCCCCATAGTTCAGTTTTAAAGCACTTACCTCGAATGTGCAAGGCCCTCGGTTCCAACCCCAGCACCACACACAATAATAATAATAATTGGGGCTGGGGATTTAGCTCAGTTGGTAAAGTGCTCGCCTTACAAGCACAAGGCCATGGGTTTGATCCCCAGCACCACAAAAAATAATAATGATAATAATTAGCTGGTTAAGTTTATCCTACTGTGTCACCCATGTCCCACATGGGCAATGGATTCAGGATCATTCCCCATGAATGGGGCTGGCAATGAAGAGACCACACAAACACAAAATACTTTTTTTGAGGATCAGGGATGGTTCAGCTCCCATGCTGGAGAACGAGAGGAGCAAGGGAAGCAAGAGAGCAAGTGTACCCCAAACCCTGTTTTTATTAGGGGGAAGACATTCCACCCAAATAAGGCAAGGGATTGTGTTACAACAAATGGGGAGGGGGGATGTAGCCCAGTCCCATTGGATGAGCCCAATCCCAGAGCTGCACTTCCTTGCAAAGCAAGGTAAGGCCCACTTGATGCCAGTTCCATACCCCTGTTACTCAAGGCTAAGGGTGGGGTGCTCACCTCCTATTCAGTGTGGCCCCCAGGCTACTGATCCCCAAGTTATCTAGTCACCCCTTCCCTCTATCAAGACTGCTCTGTTACAACTTTTTTTATCCTTCCAGATTCATGGACACACACACACACACACACACACAAACACACACAAACAAATAAAGCAAACCTACAAATAGCAGCATGCTAAACACACTACTCTGCCTTGCTTTAAAGAAAAAAAACACACACACACAAGTAGTTCTTAGAACTCAGTCAATATTGGTACATTTAGGACCATCTAAACTTTATTAACAGTTGTATTCTATTCCTTTGTATGACTATACCATAAATTTTACATTTCATTTTTTTCTAGTCTTTAACTTTGAGGTCAAAAGGCATGTACACTTTAGATATGAGCAAACTGCCACTTCTCTGTGTGTGTTGCTCTGGGGGATCATACCCAGGACATCCTCATGCTAGGCCAAGGGCTCTACCACTAAACCACACCCACTCCCACTGTGCCCTGCTTTACCACTAATTTCTTTCTTTCTTTTTTTTTTTAATATTTATATTTTTTAGTTGTAGTTGAACACAATACATTTATTCCAAACATTTAGTTTTATATGATGCCGATGATACAACCCAGGGCCCTGCACATGCTAGGCTAGCGCTCTACCGCTGAGCCACAAGCCCAGCCCCTACCACTAATTTCTTAACTG